GTGTGTTTCCCACTGGATAGTGAAATACTATTTCCTGCTTCTCCTCCCGTATTCTTGATACCAAATGCAGTATGCTCCATGTGACTGAAACACGACTCTTGAATGCACACCCGATACCTGCTCATCTCCTGAATCTCTGACCATGTGTCTAGTTGTCTGTAGGTAACTCCATCCTTCCAATTGCTCAGGCTGAAACAATCATCCTTGATTCATTTTTCTTACATCCTGGTACCTAAACACCAACAAAAACTATAAAATCTATCTTCAGAATATACTCAATGTCTTCAACATTGTGTGCTCCCTATGAAAGAATATGGTTCCACTGAGGAAGTTTCTTGCTAATACCTTCATTGTGAACAGCCTAATAGACTGCACTTAAAAAGGAAGAATTAGAGAGGGGAACCTACAGATCAGAAAATCATAGCATGGACCCCATTGAATTCTGATTTAAATTATAAAAAAATCATGACAATTATGATAATATGATTTTTTAGGACTGGAGAGGTGGCTCAGAGGTTAAGAGCACTGGCTGCTCTTTCAGAGGTCCTGAGTTTGATTCCCAGCAACCAAATGGTGGCTCATAACCATCTGTAACACTGAATACATAATAAATAAATCTTTAAAAAATACATAATTTTTTAGAGATTTATTTTTGTTATTTTTAGTTATATGCATATATGGGACAGGGGCAAGAGAGGGTATATGCACATGAATGCAGGTGCCTGCAGAGGCCATGGGCTGAGCTGGAGTTACAAGTGGTTGTGAGCAGCCTGATGTGGGTTCTGGAATCAAACTTGGGTCCTCTTCAAGAGCAGTGTGTGCTGTTAACCACTAAGCCATCCCTGTGGGGGGCAGATGAAGTACTGAGTGAATGTACTGTTCACATGAGCACTGCCATGTCAAGGACCCTACTGCCTCAGACCCATGGGAAAGGCAAGACCTTCCCTGGGCAGGCTCCAAGGAGTGGCAGGGTCTTCTTCCCCTGGTCCACAATGCAGAAAGTGTCTACCACAGCATCCTTCTCCCAGACGACTCCAGGTCAGCTGCTCCCCTACAGAGAACCCCACTGATGAGCTCACTCACTCATTGTTTGTGTTGTGCTTAATAAACTCATTTGAGTTTCCAGGCTGCTGCTGGTGCATCAGCTGGCCAATCCCAGTCTTTCTGTATGTGTGTCTGTCATTTCTTTATTCCCTGTTTCCCAAGTCAGGTCACATCCAAAACCATGAAGGTCATGGTAATCTTGCTAGCCCAAGATAATAAAAAAAAAATATGTCGCTGATGGAATTTAATATGAAGTAACATTTTTGGGGGTGTGATATTTGTGCATGTGTACATGTGTATGTGAATGCATGCATGAGTGTGCATTCGTGCTGCATGTTGGGTTTGTGTCTCTCTCTCGGTGTGTGTGTGTGTGTGTGTGTGTGTGTGTGTGTGTGTGTGTGTGTGTGCTACCATGGGGGTGCTGGGACTTGAACCTCTGAAAGAGTAACCAGTGCTCTTAACTGTTGAGCCATCTCTCTAGCCCACTATTTAACTTTTAGAATGAGCATAGTGGCATTAGTATACATGAAATGCTCTGCTGTCCATGAGCATAGCATTAGTACACATGAAATGGTCTGCTGTCCAGGCCCAGCTTCTAAATAATACAATAGAGAGGGAGAGCTAGGGAGGGAACAGCTAAACTATGATTGGTGATGAATGGTTGGCATAGATTATGGGTACTTGAATACATTTGAAAATTTCCACATCAAAAGATCTAAAAATATATGTCCAGAATGTGACATGCCCCTGCTATTTCTAGATTTCTTCTATTTTCCATTTTTAGCCTCGTCCAAGTCACTCACCTCCCACCCACCTATTTTCAATCTCTCACTTGCTTTCTGGTCTCCAGCCTTGTTCTCGCTGGTGTCAGTCTACTCCACTGCAGGAAGAGTGATTCTCTTGAAAGCACCAGATGTTTTCCCTTCCTGTTCAGGCCCTGCAAAGGGCCTCCCCTTGTTTGGGACTTTTGGTACCTCTCTGACCATGTCCCCTTCTCCTCAATCCCTCCTCAGCTCCACCACAGTCTTGTGTGTCAGAAGAGAAAGATCAATACAGGGCTAAGGTCCACAGAGACCTACTACGTGTCCTTTGCTTCCTGTCCAGCAGGCTTACCCAAACACAGACTTTTGGAGCAGTTTACATCCACCTATGGCTCCTTTGTTCTAATTATACCAACATGGACCTGATCCTTAAGGTGGGGGGTTCCCTCAGAACTTCTTTCTGCTCTGGTTTTGAACCCTTGGGAGCTCAGGCTCAATTTTCTAATTCTCTGTTGTTCTATCAGCCCCCCTTCATGAGATGTAAGTACCTGGAACACACATGCTGCCTCTTATATCTTTGTGGTCTAAGCCTTGATAAATTCACAGTATTAAGAATTAAGCATATTCAGGTGTAGATGGATTTTTTCTTTGGGCCACCAGCTAAGAAATAATGTGCATAGAGACTTATTATTAATGATGAAAACTTAGCCTTTGCTTAGGCTTGTCCCATTAGCTCTTATAACTTAATCTGTTTCTATTAATCTAGGTTTTTTCGTGTGGCCTTTTTACCTTTTTTCATTCTATGTATGTCTTCCTCCCGCACCTAGATTGCTCCTCCTACTTCCTCTCTCTTCCCAGAAGTCCTGCCTATACTTCCTGTCTAGCTATTAGCCGTTCAGCTCTTTATTATACCAATCACAGCAATATATCTTCACACCATGTACGAATATACTACAACATTAAGGCCCACCTGAAATCACAGCATGTGGGGAGTGGAAGGAAGGAGGAGGATCTTGGATTTGAGGCAAGCCTGAGCCACATAGCCAGACTCTGGTTTTTTTTTTTTTTTTTAAGATTTTATTTATTATGTATACAACATTCTGTTTCTGTGTATATCTGCACACCAGAAGAGGGCACCAGATCTCATAATGGATGGTTGTGAGCCACCATGTGGTTGCTGGGAATTGAACTCAGGACCTCTGGAAGATCAGTCGGCGCTCTTAACCTCTGAGCCATCGCTCCAGTTCCAGACTCTGTTTTTTAAAAAACAAATCAAAACCAGACAACAGCCAGAAAAGAACTCTGTTAGCATTGATCCAGCTTTTTAAAATCCCTACCTACAAAAGTTTATGTTAGACAAAAAATACCTATGCTATAATTACTCAGAAGGCATAACTTTTATCAGAAGACTAACCTTGATTTAGATAGAAATGTTTAGTGGAAACATTAAAAGTGTGTGTGTGTGTGTGTGTGTGTGTGTGTGTGTGTGTGTGTGTGTGTGTGTATTCTGCCACAGCTCATGTGTGGAGGTCTGAGGGCAACCTGTGGGAGTCAGTTCTCTCCTTCCACCTTGTGGGTCTCAGGGATTAAACCCAGTTGTTAGTCATGGTTGCAGGCATTTTCACCATCTGAGTCATCTCCTTGGCCCATGATAACATTTAATATATAATTGATATCTTTGCTATCACTAAATAATAAATATAGCATTTCTAATATTACTAGGTTTTCCATCCATTGTCTATAATTGAAGAGATTACTACATGCTAACATACCTGCTCAGTTACCATACTTATTGAACAATTAGGGCCAAGGGGTGCAAACTAGGGAGGGATAAAGAAGCTCTATCCAGAAGAAAAAGTCAATAGATGACCAGGGCTTGTTGAGAGGGAGGGTTAAAAGGTCCTTAGATATAGACAAAATCCAAACTGGAAGTGCCCTTGCCTCTGCATGTGCAATGGAGTGAAGTCATATCACTGAGGTGGTGACTGAAATAGGAACTTTTAAAAATACATACCAATGGTGTTGCCTCACTTGGCTAGTTTTAAGTGCACTTAATGTGAGTAATTTAATTGCTACCAGCTCTTAACCTTTTGAGACAGGGTCTCTCTGAATAGCCCTGGCTATCCTGGAACTCACTGTGTAGACCAGGCTGGTCTCTAACTCACAGAAATCCATCTGCCTCTGCCTCCCTGCTAGGATAAAAGGTATGCATTACCATGCTTGACTACAAAGCTCTTTCAAATGTTAAAATGTTCTTCTAGACAATGCAGTTGGTTTTTAGCAGGCAAGTTATCGATTTTTGGGTAAATCTGGTTTGTTTGTCCTTCAAATAGGAAGTTAATGCTGCAAGGAGCCACTGGTGTTTAAAAAATTCTGAATTTCTTTGCTTGTGTTGGTGGATTATATTCTCTGACCCTCAGAAACCCCTTTCCCCATTTTCCTTTATGTCTGACTGCATTTGCCACAAAACAATCAGCTAAAGTTAGATAGATGTATAGTCTCTGACAGTGGAACATTTTTCTTTATGACATATGGCACTGAGTCAGACAAAGCCTCCTTCAGCCACTCCAGAAAAGCCTCTCTTTGAACGTTCAAAAGCTGCCCGACTTTGTCTTGGCCCCTCACTCTCCAGTTTACTATAAGCATTTTTGTTGAAAGGACTGAGGAAGTTCAAACATACAGACACTGGAATCAGGCAAATCATAATCTGTTTACTGGTGGGAATGTCTCGAATTTACCACAAAATAGGTGATGGGGTTCTCTTCAGAACTGGAGTTGATAATGAATGCCTGGATCTGAAGAGAGTGCTAAGGGCAGTGAATATAATGTGTTCTTTGTGAGACCAGAATACTTCCAAGTGAGTATCTCACCCTGAGGTAGCATCAACACATCAGGCTTACCCCAACAGCCAACAGAGCATTCAATGTCTTTCATTCAGTTTCTTTGTTAGTTTTGGTCATTCTGGTTGGCCTGGAACTCACTATGTAGATCAGGTGGCTTCAAACTCAGAGAGATCTGCCTGCCTCTGCCTCCTGATTGCTGGGATTAAAGGCATTTAGTATCACGGTTTATAAGTCCTAAGCATGTAGGAAACATTACATTGAACGAGTATTGTGTGTAACAAAGCCATGACTCACAAAGATGAAATAGCTGCACAGAAGAATTAACACTAAGACATTTAAAAAAGAGACTTAATGTAGGAATAAGCTATTTTAATCAAGCAAAACAAATTTATATTTATTATTTCTAAAAATAAAATTAAACCTTTCCAATCCTTAACATCTGCATTTAATAATATCTTCTAACCAAAATACAGATGCTAAAACAGCAAGTTACAATATATCTTGTACAACATACAGTATGTTCACTGTTTACACTTTAATTCTACTTGGTCGTTATGTACTTGATGCATACTTAAACACCACTCATAACATTTTCACAATCAACAAAAAAATGTAACCAGTTGTCTTAAATGGCTCTGCTATAAATTGTATAGAATATACAGAATTACAAAGTCAAGTATTTTATCAAAATATACACCCCTCCCTGAAACTAACACAAGCTATCAACATTTTAAATGAATAGTACAATTATAGAAAATATTTGCAAAATTATTTTTATGTATAAATATTCTGCCATATTTACTTTGGTCTAGAATTATCAGCATACAAGTCCACTTAAAAATATCCACATATAACGCCGGGAGACATCGGTACATATAATTTTATATTTGTAGTTAAATCAAAACAACTTAAATACATAACTGATTGCTTTATAATCACAACTGAGATAAAACAAATTAGTGGATCACAGGATTGCTTGTCATCTAATTATTAATTCAAAAGTGATTTTCATAAGCCCTTTGTGACTACCTCCTTAACAAAACACACGTGAATGGTGTGGGTGTACATATATACAATGGATAAAATAAAGATGAATTTGCTTGTATTTCCCCATTTTCCTCTAGTATATAACACTGCATGTAGGTGAAAGAAGGTGAACAAATGATAAACGCAGATACAATATTGGAGTTGCTTAACAACTACAGTACAAAAGGTCACCTTGAATCATGTCCTTTTTCCTGGGTGTTATGTTTTCTTGCCTCCCCAAACCACACTAAGTCTTCTTCATGGAGACACCACAACACTTGTTGCAACCAACTGGAGTCCTCTGAACTACTTCTTCATAACTTTCCAGCCTTGGATTTCCATCTACCAAATCCAGTGAACAGGAACGGCTGCTGGCCACTCTAGAACTGTGAAGTTTGCTCACACTGGTGACTGAAGGAAGGGTAGGAATGTGCTCTCCCTCCCTCCTATCCTGGCAGTTTTAACAGTAAGAATCGTGAGTTCCAGCTTGCCAGGATCCTAGTTCACATGAAAGGATACCCTGAAGGGCAAATAGACTTTTGAGGACAGTTTGCATCAATAGAAAAAAAAACGACTTAGAAATATGAGGCTTTATCAAGGGAGCTAGATGTCTGCAGACATAAAGTCAGTGCTTCGGAGTCATGTAGGTAAGGGCATAACCCTGTCCTTCCTCACCCTATCTCCCCATCCCTCAGAAACAATGCTGCTGTTTGAGGAAAGGGAGGTCATCACTTCCCCTTGTCCTCATGTCATCAGAGGGGGTGGGGGCTTCTGTTGTCCTTTTAGCTAGTATGCACCTGTGGGCTGCATTATCTCCAAGGTGTACAACTGAATTAGGCTTTCTGCTGTTTCCAAGTGCCTCTAACTTCATCACCACAGAGGTTATGTCTGGTACTCAACCTCTTGCATAACCCTTCAGTAGAATGGGAGACATCAGGATTATTTGACCCCTTAAGTCTGTGTGGAATAGCCCCCAACATCCATGGCCTTGGGAGGACTGGAAGACTGCAGAGAGTTCAGAAGAATTTGACCATTCTTCATTCTCTGAGGTGAGGCCATTGCAAAGGATTATACGGCATAGGTAATCTCAGGTAAGTTGTGGGAAGGCTCTCCCCATAGGTAAGGCATGACTTAGGTTTTGTGTGACTTGAGTAGACCAGTTCTTAAAAACAGCTCAGCCATACTTTAACAGTGCAGTATTCCATCGAGAAGCACACGCAAGCTCATCGGTCAGATTCCAAATGCTGTACTGATTTTGACACCAGTCCTCATTAACAATAGGTCTATTGCTCATTATTCTTTACAAGGGACACGGACAGTTAGTTAAAAGCTACAGTGATTCATATATGTATTTTACAATGTTTATGTTGCAGAAAAGTAGTTCTAGATGATGTATGAATGTCCTACTTTACACTACCCATTACATATTTTCAGTTATATTGTTAAGTATTTTGTAAATACCCATTGATTTAAACGAAGATTAATAGTGCAGAAACTGGATGGGAATAAATACTGTCATAGCTCATTTAGCATTTAACACATCTCAGAGATTCCATTTTCATGATTCTGACCCTTATTTTCTCCAGTGACTAATGACAGTTCAGCAGTCCTCATTAGCGCTCACCAGAAAGTTTTAAATTAGGCTAAAATTCAGCTGCTTTTTCTTACTGTTCAAAATACCACAGCTAAGAACGTCATTAGCCTTCACAAAATACTTGGGTCCTTAGACAATTCAGCTATTTTGTTTCTATGCACTCTGTGTGAAGTGAATGATAAAACCCAAAGTAGGTGTTAGGATCTTTTTTTTTTCTTTTCTTTTCTTTTTTTTTTTTTTGAGTTTACACAAATGAGAATTAACTTCCCCCCAACTCCTTTGTGACTGTTAAGAGAACAAAACTAAACTTTAAAAAACTAAAAAAAAAAAAAAAACCCAAAACAAAAAAATCAAAAACAAAAAAAAAGAAAGAAAGAAAAGAAAAACTCACAAACAACTTTTTGAAGACTTTTCTAACTGTCGTCACTGGACACTTTTAGCAAAGGTTTGTATATCATCCTTTTGGTCGCTGTCTTCCGAATCAGTGCAAAGTTGACTCTCCAAGAGATCTGAGTTTTCATGGCACATGTCATCTGTTTTCTCCTGCTTAGTTAAGGTCTTGAACAAATGTTTCTTTTGGTGCATTCTGAGGGCAGCAGCTGTTTTGCATATTTTGGGGCACTGGAAGCAAGCAAAGCCTTTCCCATCATGTTCCCGAACATGCCTCCGCTCATGATTCCTTTTTGTGGAAAGATATAAAAAGCCCTGAAAGCAGAACTGACAGTGGTAACGTTTCTCCCCCGTGTGGATTCTTTCGTGGATTTTAAGAGTCTCGTTCAATGTGAATGCCTTGTTACAATACTGACAGATGAACTCCTTCACACCCAGGTGGATGCGCTCGTGTTTCTGTAAGTTTCCTTGCACTGAGAAGCACCGCCCACAGGTCTTGCATTGGTATGGCTTCTCTCCAGTATGGCATCTCATGTGCATCTTGAGCGTGGACGGGCTCTGGAACTGCTTTGCGCAAAGCTCGCAGATGTAAGGCTTCAACGTGAGATGCTGGTGGGGCTTGCCTTCGGCTTCCATCCCCCCTGCTTTGTCGCCATCACAGAGCTCACACTGGAGTTTGGGCATCTCTTTATTTTCTTCTTCTTCAAAAGCCTTATCCGGAGGTGGCTTTACCTCTGCACGATCCAGTTCCGCTGGGTATCTGCACCTACCGCTGGGGCTTCTGACCCCGTGCTCCTTCCGCCACTTAACTTTTCTCATTTTTCTCAACTGTTTGGATTTCTTCTTGGGCTTGTAGTTGTAGTATGGGCGCCACGGCTTATCAGTGGAATCCTGGTCACTCGCGTCATCAAATGCTTCACTCATCTCTACGCATTCAGCCTGGCAAAGCCCAAGGGGGCTGTCCCCATGGGTTTCTGGGTCACTCTCCTGAGGCAACGACTCCTCCTGTATTTGATACTTGGGTTTCCTCCCTCTTTTGTAAAACAGCTTGGACCCAAGGATATGCCTTTTCACAATGGCTTCATTTCCAATTTTCACTGTTATCTGGCAAAGGGGTGCAACATTGCTATTTGTGGAGGTGCCAGGCAGAGCAGGTTTTGCAATGTAAGTTTCAATTTTGCTGGTTTCTTCAACGGCATTTGTGGTTTTGCCCAAAGACCCTCCTGGGTCAGCAACGTGTTTTGCCTCCTCTGTTATTTCTCCCCTGTTACATGGAATAGCTTTCTTTTTCTCTTTAATGCTTTTGGGTCTGCTTGCAAGTTTACTGGCTTTATCTGCCTCAGGTTTGCTATCTTCTTTCAGGGATGGACTGATGACTGGTTGTGAAGGGGCCTTGTCATTGCTGCTGGTCAGGGCAGCAAATGTATTGCTGTGCTTAATCACCGATGAAAACTGGCTGCTGTGCACAATGACCGAGGGCACCGAGCCACTGTAGCTGATCACAGAGGCTGACTGCTCACTGCCTCCACCCATGGTCGCACCATGTGTGGGCTCTGCCTGGAGATTGGCACGGACGGTGGAAGACACTGATGCCTCAGTTGAATCAAAGTTATTGACAAGACCAGTTTTCAGTGCCTCCTTTTTCCATTTGGTGCCTTCTGCATTTTTTACTTTGGCAGAAGTGAGTGTGCCCTGATGTGCAGGTGTTTCCACTGGGATGGCGGGGATGCTGGTCAAGGTGTTTCTGCCATCTTGGAAGTTCAGTGTGGGCATTTCAGAGCTTTGCGAATTTGGAACAACAAATGTATCTGGTGCAGACTCGCTCCTTTGACTGTTTTCTCGAGAACTTTCGTAGGAAGAATTCCGGAAGCTCTTATAAGGTGCCCTCTTGCATCTCATAGGCAAGAGCCTGTAAAGTTTATATGGGTAGACATTAGGTTTTAAGCCTCCATTTGCAGTTTTTTTACTGATGGAGAGTCTGTGATCTATGGCATGAAAAGACTTCTGATGGTTTTTTAGTATGTAGTAGGTCATAAAAGTTTCAAGACAAAATATGCACTGGTACCGCCTCTCTCCAGTATGCCAGATCTCATGCCGTGTCCTGTACTCGGCCAGTGCAAAGACCTTGTTGCAGTAATGGCAAGGGTATGTTCTTCTCCACGAGTGAACATTTGCATGCCTTCTGAGACTGGATAAAGTCACATAGCTACGTTTGCACACAATGCAACTATAGAGCATCTGCCCATTCACAAATTTCACTATGTGGTCAGCGTCTGGCAAGGCACTCCCAGCGCTGGAAAGTTCACCAATGTTATTTTCTGGTACTAAGGATTCTGGATTTGGGAATGAACTTCCATTTTGTCCAATAGTGGGATAGTTTTCTAAAAACTGTTGGTTTCCTCCTGGGATGGGCACATGGCTAGACCTCATACAGATGTGTTCATGCCGATCCAGCCTGTTGAGGGTGGTGAACTGCTTGTTGCAGTACTTGCACACAAAAGGTTCTTGGGTTGGCTTGTGGAGCTGCATGTGGGCACTAAGCAGTATGCTGCTGTCAAAGGATTTGGAACAACAGCTGCAATTATAGACGAGGGGAGGGACCTCGGCTGCTGTTGGGCCAGGAATATCATCAGAGGGTTGGTTTTCCTCTTCCCTGGTAAAATGGACATCTCCTTCCTTGCTGGGAGGTTCTGACTGTGACAGAATCGGAGCTGGCTGTGGACTTTTTTCTTGATTAACCTCTGGGCTGGTTACTGGAAGCAGTGGTGTCTTTTCTGGGGTTGAGTCAGATTCCTGGGATTGGGTCTTTGGCTTTCGGCATGGCTTTACTTTTGTGACAAGAGCTTCGCCATTTTCTTTTCCCGTTTTACCAGATAAACTGCTGTCATGTTCCCGTACAGGCTGATTCCTGTAAGCCTCAGTGATAGAAGAAACAGCGTACGAGTGTTCAGCAAGTGTGCGGACAGGCTCTGCTTCGTGGCAGACATTGGTCCTCTCCTGGCAGAGGCTGGTTGTTCTCATAGAATCAGACACTTTTTTGAAGCTTGCCCTCAAGTCCAGTGGAGAAAACATGTTATTACTATTTTCCGTTTCAATGATGGAAAATGCATTTGTGATCCTTGGCCCATTAGTAATGGCTGGTTCTTCGTGCCTTTTTTCATTTTTTTCCTCTTTAACCACGCCCTTTTCAGTAATGCAGACTACATAGGGACCTGGGGAATTTGAGAAGTTGCGGTCACTAAGGTCTTCCAAGAATGATATTCCCAGCTTTTTTCCCGCAGCTGCAAGATCAGTGACAGTTTCCTGTCTCTTGACCACAACAGTGGAGCTGTAGATATAATTAAGTATTTCTGTAAACACTTCAGCTTTCAGATCATCCAGCTCCAGGACATGGCTAGAAATACAGATTGTATGGCTCCAAAATATATTTTTGAAATAAAGGCTTGAGGCAGCCAAGACATTGCTGTGAGCTTTAAACTTGGTGTCTTCCACAATGATGGTGACATCGCATAAAATGCCTCGGATGCGCTGCTCATTTAAGATGGAGAGCACCGTGTCACTGTGAAAGTCGTCCTTGAGGTCCCTGGAGAGGGACATGACTGTCATCTGAAACAAGAAACAAATGGTCAGGGGGCTTCCATCAGTGACTTGTTCATTCCTAGGCTATTTGCTACTTTTGGGGAAAACTGTTTCCTTGCACGTGAAAACTTGGACTTTTATCTCATCCTGTTGTTCTTCCTGAGACTTGGAAGTCAACATTAGAAGCCCAACCTTCTCGCCCCAGACTGTTTCTCATGCCATTGCTAGTAGCTGTAGTTGGAAATCCTCCCAGGACTCCTTCCTCTGTCTTCTACGAAGTCTTAGCTATGTCCAAATATGGGGAGGGAAAGCAGACAGGGTCTCCCCACTCAAGGCTGCCACTCTGAGACTCTAGAGCTGATGGCATCATGGTCTTTTAGAAGCATCCTCTATTCATGTGACTTTCCCCTAAGATAAGGTCTCACTATTTAGCCCTGACTAGCTTGCAACTTGTTATCTAGACAAAGCTGGCCTTGAATTCAGAGATCTACCTGCCTCTGCCTTCTCTGAAATCTCCCCAACAGAGGACCTGGGGCTTAAAGACTATCACACAATGCTAGGTGAGTCACATTCCAAGGCCTGCCAGCCTGGAACTAGATACTGGCATTGAATTCACAATGCCTGCCCCTGTTTCCTGAGTACTGAAAGTAAGGGCATGCATCACCACACCTGACTATATTGGATGGTGTGTGTGTGTGTGTGTGTGTGTGTGTGTGTTGCCGAGGACTGAATCCCTGGTCTCTACATGCTGGTCAAAGGCTTTACCATTGAGCCATATCCCCAGCCTCTTTTACATGTTTCAAAGATAGCCTTAATAATCTGATCCAAACATAATTCATAAAGCAGAAATAATTATGTTTAAAAGTTTCCTGTGAGTGAGTGGGACCTATATGTGAGGTAACTGCTCAGAGAAGCAGCAGGAATGGAAGCAGCCATTCTACCTCATTCCTCTGTGACCTTCTCTTCTGAGGGGCAGTGTGTGACTGAGTCTGACCACCAAGGACACCTGCCTTCTCTCCACATGCGGCCAGCCTGCTGAGAACCAACCCACTCTTTGATTTCCCCTCTGCCAGAACCAGACCGGAGTTTTTAAAATGAAGGCAAACAAAGATGACAAGATACTAAAGCAGGAAAGTGTGTTCCCCAGTCTATGCTAATGAGTCTTTCATCACAGCTTCCTACGTTAGAACCACTGGAAGGCATGGCGGCTCTTGGATGGTCCAAGGATGGTGTGCATGCTGCATGCATAACTTATTCTCTTTACTTAGACTTGCTGGTGTTGTGAAAAATGTCCACGAAACAACCCTTCAAAGGTTTTAGTTGATCTTGGAAGAGTGTGGCAGAGCAGGGCAGCTCACATGTGGTGGAGGGAGGGGGAAGGAAGGAACGGGAGGAGAAGGGAAGAGGGAAGAGAGGGAGAAGAGAAGGTGAAGGAGCCCCGGCTGGCTAGCTGCTCCCCACCCCCTGCTTTTACTCTATTCAAGCCCTTTCTGATACATCCCGGACCATGCTTTACAAATCTCCTCTATACTTCTCAACCTAATCAAGCTGGCAATGAAGACGGACCACACATTCCTACACCACTGTGTGGATGGTAGTGGCTGAATGATCTTGTCATTCTCTGTATGTTTTACTGTGAACCTGGGATGACCAGAGCCTACTGTCACACTAGTGGCCAAAGCAGCTGCTTTCACATTTATCCACAGTAACAAATACACAGCACGTAGTGACCTAAGACACAAATGAGACAAATAGCCTGACTTCATGTGATTCAATCTGTTCTGTTCTAGGACTTTCCACTTAAAGAAAATGCAGACAGAAACTCACTGTTCTCAGTCTCTAATTCATCATCATTGCATATAAACATGAAACAATAATATCCTGCTCTAGTTGACAAGACATACAAGTACTCATCCTCTATTTCACCGACCTGTGCCATCAGTATATGCAATCCCCAGAAAGCCATACAACTCAGTATTTCTCTAACTGCCAGTGGCAATGTCTTGCTAGTTCTGGACATTTAGCTCATGACATCTATCTATTCAGTTAGACAGACCAAACATCCGCACAAAAACTCTTAATCGTTTTGTAAAGGGTCTGTTATAAGCTGGGCCCCACTGTGCTATTTAACTTCCTTTATACAGCATCATTTGATAAGTTCTTGTATCGCTTTTGGTCACAGGGAAAGGGCACCTTCCTCTGAATCCTTCACTTTTCACAAGGAAACTACATATGTGCTCACCAGCTTTAGTTCTCGAAACAAGGAAACATAGGCTTTTGGTCATTTGCTGTAGCCACTCCTAGCGCTGGGGTTTCTGTTGTGACCATTGTTTTGTTTTCCTTATTTAACATTTGTTCTTCTACTTTGCTTTGCCTTGTCTCTAATTTAATCTTTCATAAGTCTTTTCTGGAATTGTGGGGGATTGTTTCTACCAGTGAAAATGGAGAGCAGAAATACATCCTATATCCCATAGGATCAACTTTTTCCACAGATTCATATTCTTATCCTGTTTAAGTTTAATGTCTCTCCTCTCTCTCTCTCTCTCTCTCTCTCTCTCTCTCTCTCTCTCTCTCTCTCTGCAGGTCTCTTCTTAATAAGCAGGAAGGACTGGAGAGTATTGGAGTTATCAGTGGCTTGGCAAGGACTGGTGCCATGTAGTCATGTTTCCTGCACACACATACTGCTGCCTGAGCATTGATGGCCAAGCAGCTTTTCTTAGTAACTGTGGTTAGAACACTGATAAGAACAAGAAGTGTGATGATTACTATCTCCAACTTGACAGAATCTGCAATCACCTGGGAGGCCGACCTCTGGACATGCCTGTGGGAGGTTATCTTAATTGCACTGAGAGCAGGAGACCTGGCCATTGTGGGTGGCACCATTTCTGGTTGGGAGCTTGGACTATGTGAGCGAGTGGAGAAACACATCCAGAGTGCAGCAGAGTGCATCATCTTCTGCTTTCTGATCGTGGATGCAATGTGACAGCCGCTTCAAGCTCCAATGGCTTCCCAGCTCCTCCATGATGGAGGCACTCCTTGAACTGGGAGCTGGAATGAACCCTTTTCCCCTTAAGTTGCCTTTTTAAATAAAAAAAAAAATCATTGTTCTGTGTGTGTGATGTGGAGGGTGATGCACGTGCCGTGGTGGGCATGTGACGGTCAGAGGACAACTTTGTGGACTCTGGTCTCTCCAGCCACCATTACACAGATTGCAGAGACTGAACTCGGGTCAGAAGGCTTGCAGGGCAAATGCCTTTGTACGATTAGCCACCCACCAGACCTTAAGTGGCTTTGTCACAACACCAGCAAAAGAAAGAGGAGGAGGCCATTCTTATCAAATCGGTAGTCTCATGACATTAGAGATGTAAGCACTTCCCAGCAAACCCTCTACATTTCTCCACAGAAAGCAACTTAAAACAGACAGTTAGAGGCGCCTCTGCAGATTGGAGGCCCACAATAGATCTTGGAACAAAAAGTCTTAAGTCAGAAAGAAGATGAGATTTAATTTACACATAATTTCTAAAATGTTTTCTAAAAACAGTTTCATGCAACAAGTTCACTATTCTTAGCAGTCCTACTGAGAAAAACTAGAGAAGCATGAAAAGGCTAAAAAGGGTGGCTGGCTCAGCAGTAGAGCGCACTGGCTGCCTTTCCAGAGAACCCATGTTCGATTCCCAGCACCCACATGGCAGCTCACGACCTTCTGTAACTCCAGGTCTAGGGAACCTACACCCTCTTCTAGCCTCTGTGGGCACTAGACACACAAGTGGTGCACAGGCATACATGCAGGCAAAGCTCTCACACATATAAAATAAAAACATATTTTAAAAGGCTAATAAAATGTTCTAGATATAAGAATTTTGGTGAGCCAATATTAAAACCATCTGTAATTAGATAACTGTCCTTACTTGGTCTATGTTACTGTTTTCCTGAGTCTGTATTGCTTAAATTTTACTTATTACATTGATTAATGTGTATATGCTGCTTGGGTGTGGGAAGATACACACGGATGTAAGAGGACAACTTTGTGGAGTCATTTCTTCTCTTCACTCTTACCTGGGCCCCAGGAATTGAACTCGGGTCAGCAGGCTTGCCTGACAAGTGCCTCTATCTGTTGAGCTATCTGTATTTTAACCAGAATAGCTTTTAAAAGCTCTTTTAAGTACATAAGTACATATATGTATATAGATGCATGTATGTGTGAATATACGATGAATATATGAACATAATACACTTCTATTTATAAGTACAAATACACTAGTACAGGAACACTAGAGCGACTAAGGAAATGTAATTAATAACTATGCCAAGGAAACAGCACATACTGGGACTAGATCCCAAGAAAATGTATGGTCATCCTATATTTACATACATAAATATGTAAACAGAATATATAGCTCTATAAAATTCAACATAAAAATTATGTGTGTTTTAACAAAATATATCTTGTGTGAGGATGTAGTTGTCACAGAGGAATTCTTGTTAATCAGCATATTTAGACTTTCAGCTGGTTTTGTCCCCTGCCACACACACTCCAGCTATACAGAGTAAACACATATACATATAGTATACAACAGGCACATAAGTTAGGTACTTCCAATGACTAACATGACTTTGCAAGGCCAGGTGTCTTGGTACACACTTGTAATCTCAGCACTTGGGAGGCTAAGGCAAGAAGACCACAAATTCAAGGCCAGTCTGGGCTACATGAGAGAAACCATTTAAAAATAGAGCTGGCTGCTGGTGGTGGTGCACACCTTTGATCCCAGCACTCAGGAGGCAGGTGGATCTTTGTGAGTTCAAGGCCAGCTGGTCTACAAAGTGAGTTCCAGAACAGCTAGGATTACACAGAGAAACCCTGTCTTACCCCCTACCCCTGCAAAAGGGAGATACAACAAATAATACAAATAATAAAATTATTCTGCTATACTTGCTTTCAAAATTAACTACCTTGTGTATATGTTAGTGTGTGTGTGTGTGTGTGTGTGTGTGTGTGTGTGTGTGTGTGTGCAGATGCATATATTGGG